ACGTATTTAGAAAAACACACATCTAACGGCGCTAAGTTTGCGTTAAATTGTTATTCTTTTAATTCCATAACATTTTTTATTTATTTATTTAAAGTCTTTTTATTTTAATGTATATCTGATCATCAAGACTGTTTATATTTTCAATATTTTTTTACAGAAACATGTTCCGGAATGTCACGTATTTTTTTTAGAGAAATTGAACTTACGGTATATATTATATTATATTATATTTTATATTATATATATAATATTATATTTTATTAGATAGAATATTTTTAATATCCAAATAGTAATGACAAAAAGGAAGGAAAAGAAATTAATCCAATGTTAAAAAAAGCTATTATAGGTTCGTATTAGAAGCTTTGAAATGTACATTCTCAATATTTAATATCTGCAAATACTATGGCGATATTCACTCTCGCCTTATTTGTAGGAGATGTTGATCGATCGCGGTCAGACACGGTGCAAATAGACGTCGTCGGTCTACTCCACTTGTAGAATATTCAGTGTAACACCGCGAAGTTCATTAGCGCACAACGGGATGCGGTAAAACTGTAACCAACCGAACGTTCGTTGCCGCGATTCGCTTTTCCAGCATCGAGTATACGAATATCCCCGCTTCTCAATTTGCGATAACGCATGGCATACGCGACAAAAGCGCGTCGTAAAGTATCGTGTATGACTATCACTCGCCCAATGACTATCATAAAAACTATATATGAAAGAATATATACGTTAGAGATATCCTTTCCAGTTTCTTGGTTTTATCTTTATACAGCGTGAAGACAAAACTGAAGCTGGATACTGACAAGTTTGCTGAAATTTTTACGAATTATAATATTTATTTTTTTTCCTCATTATTTTTGCAAAAAACTGTACAGTTAGAGAGTTTGAATTTTGTTATGAATTTTGGACTATCGGATTTTTTTGGTTTTTGAAAAAAAGGATTATGTTGAACATCATTAATTATTCAATTTGTTAAATTAACATAAAACATTAAGTTTATCAAATCCCATATTTTAGTATAATTATCGTGGATAGCAAGATTACGGGACCATCTCGTAGATGTATTCGTTATGTTGTATTGTCACGTACAATGCGTGCTGCAAATTTAATGCAACGAATTTTCGGGAGAAGGACACATTCCGACCGAGGTATAAACGAGGTTCTCGACTTGGTGCGCGTTAAACGTTAATTGCCATTACGTGGCGTGTTGCTAATTGCGACGTTCACCACAGGCACAACGCGATGCGAATAGGGTCACGTTGCAGTGTCTAAAGCGTCAAATAGGCGACATACTCGCAGGATAGATTTGAAATTAGAAGATTTCAGATTAGTTATTGCTCACGATGCGAGGAATAGTATTTCGTTGCTGATACCAAAGCAATTAAAAGTTATTAAAGCCGTGGGAACGCGGCCAATCGACCATTGCGAGCGTATGAAATCCATGCATTGCGGATAATCGATGGATATTTTTAGATTTTCAGAATATTTTCAAATATCTTTTAATTCTGTTAACTGAATTTACATCTTAAAAAAAAAATGATAAAATGAACTCCGCGCAAGAAATTGTTAGATAATAGGCGTCAGGTAGTAAGCAAAATTAAATCGATTTTCAAACTTATCGGAAAATCGTACATGAAAAGATAATTCCATTTAACTCGATTATAAATAATTATAAATAATTACTCCGCTCAAAATTGATTTTGTAATATGAAAAACTAACTTTCATAGCGAAAAGTGAAAAACGATTGGCTTAATCGTTTAATTAATTATCAGAACTCTGGCGATCTTTTAGCGTGCAGCTCTTTCGCAAAATTGGACAGGATTTCGGTTCGCTATCCAAATTCGCAGCGAATCTATTGAGATGATTTCGAATTAAGCCGCAGACTTGAGGTTGCTCGCATCGTTCGGCCGATG